AGGGGCAGAGCAGCTTGCAGGGGCTGTATGTACTGTACCACACACTGCTGACAGACCTGCTTTGCTTCCTCTAGGGCACTTTGCAACCATTACCTTGAACTTCAATGACAAAGGTGGCGAGACAGAGGTGTGCTTGGAAGGCAAGGGCGTTCCTGCCAGTGAGGAAGAAAGAACAAAGCAAGGCTGGCAGCGCTACTACTTCGAGGGCATTAAACAGACATTTGGTTATGGTGCTCGCTTGTTTTAATAGCGGTTGCTGGGAGGCTCTGCCTGAAGACTCTGCCACATGGACTGATAAAATTCTCGCCTGCTCCTTTCTAATCTTGGCCCTGCCGCTGAGTAGAGTGGGATGACAGGTGATGAGGAAGGCCATGGAGCAGCACCACTTTCAGTCCCTCACTGCTTTGTGCATGTCTTGTGCTGCAGGGGATTCTCTTACATGTACATACTTCTATTGCTAAATAAACCTAACTTAAAAAAACACTGTGGAATTTGTGTCCTCGGATTGGGTTGAGTTCAAAGGGTTGGGCGATCGGCTCAGGGAGGGATCTGTCTAGAAAAACACCGATCAATGAGGATTGCTGATGCCAATGTGATTTACTCCTCACTTCTGGGGGAGTACAGAGCATGAGCTTGATGCAGTTTTTAGTCTGAGCAGCTGCTCATTTTCCCTCTGCTTTTGATCTGCCGGTAGTAAATGTTTCAAACTCTTCCCATTTTTGAAGGGATTTGTGATCCTGTTCAAGCTGTTCCTCTCCTTTGCATATCCCCTTCAACACAGTCATTTCTTACACAGTCATTTCTTACAGTCTGCTCTACAGGAACGACAATCATGCAAACCAGTGCTAGGGAAACTCCCACCCACAGAATGGTTCTAGAAGGTTGTGGGGCCCAGGGCCAGCTACCTCCAAGAGCCTCAGGCCAAAGCAGACTGGTTTTTTCAGAAATAAATTCCTGACTCCATTTAGAGTCTACAGTGTGCAGCACTTTTTGCTCATCATACTTCAGCTATTACTTTAACGGGTGAGGAAGAAAAAAAATGCTTGTTCTCACCTGTTAATGCATTAGTTCGTGGAGCTGTCTTCAAAAGCCATAAACTTGTTTATAGGAGGGGTGAAAATCTGACTGATCAGAAGTGTCAACCTGCTTAACCTTAAGGGTGAGAGAAGTGCTTGGTTTTCTTTTCGAGGCATGAGCTTCTCTTGTATATTTTGTTTTTTCCTAGTGTTTTCTGCAGAGTTCCTCTAGTAAGCTAGAAGAGTGTGATGTTATTGGGTGAAATTTACTGGTTTGGGGATTTTTCTTGCTTTTTATTTTTATTTTTTAAAATTTGAATTGTATGTGGTAACTGTTCCCTTCAAGAGAGGAGACAAGAAAAAAACGTAAGTGGTTGTTTTAAAAAAGACCCTGAATATATTTGTTGGAGTCTCCTTTTAAACTATAAAGAGCATTCTGCCTGTTCTCACTACTCCAAAGTGCTGAAGTATGAAAAAAATCATGATAAAGTGTGTACAGACAGACATCAAGAATGCAGCATGAACAAACTTCTGTAGTGTGTACTCATCCCTGAGCTGACCTGTGAGAACAAAGTTGTACAAAGAGGCAGCTGTAGATATGGCAGAGCTTCCCTGTGCCATGCAGGATTGTCTGCCCTAAAGCATGGCTGGCTGGGAGAATGGATGCAGGTGTTTTGCCAGGATTTTTGTGCACAGATGAACCCTGTACACACCTGCTGGGCTGCGGGGGGCAGGTAACGACATGGAGCACACTGATCCCACTGTACAGCCTCTATGCTTGGTTTTCTGCTTGGGAAATCCTGGACAGCAGCGTGGGAAACAGCAGGGCTAGCAAGTGAGTTCACAGCCAAAAATTTGGTAAAAGGAGAGAAAAATTATTTAAAAACTGAAAAAAATGAGCTGGTTCTAGGTCAGCTTGAGGCAAAAGTGCCAGCTGAGTTGCGATGTCTGTGCTGTGCTTTGGCAGCTGTGCTGTGGTAGCAGTGCTTGCCTGCTGCAGGCTCTGCTGCCACAGCTGGGCCAGGGCAGCAGAAGGCAGGCCCTGCTAATCACCTGCTGCTGGAAGGTTAGGAAGTGGGACAGGAAGGCAACTGAAGTGGAATTTTAATTGCCTTCCTTTCATCACAAGCATGGTTTACTTCAGGCATCCTGCTGCTACTCTAATAGGGCACGCTTTGGCCTCGGCCAGCAACCCACATGCATGGGGCTCATGGACTCAGGGCTTTTCTCAGAGGCCATTTGAGGGCTCTTCCAGCAAAACTGACTGCCCTGGGTTATGCTGGTGCTTCCCCAGCTGGCTCTCTGCCCTGCAGGCTGGAAATCAGCATCCCCAGGGCAGCAGAACAGGCTGTGTAATGTAGCCAGGCCTTGGCTGCTGTTCACACGTGAATCTCTTGGACTGGCCCAGCAGCGAAGGAAGGCTTGTGCTAAGGCTGTGCCAGCTCTAACAGGGCACAGCAACGGCAATTAAGGCCTTACACCACTTCAGACATTAACTTGGTGAAGGAGATCTGAGCCTTAAATCATGCTAGAGGTTACTGCACTACATCTGGCTACTGCCAGCAGACACACACTCCTGCAGCTACAGCTGACCTCCAGTACAGCTGCACGATGCTAATGAGAAACCCTAGACCTCTGCTTTGCTTGGAATTGCTGGAAAACAGTCACAGTTTAGTAGTCCTTCAGCTATTTGGGGAAGGGAGAGTTGTATAAGATTAGGGAGAAAAGCAAGGTTCAGTATACTCTGGCCCAAAGGCTCTTTAAGAATCTGACAGGGAAAAGTCCTGTAAATTAAAGAAGTCAAAGGTTAAAAAACAGAAATCAGAAGTGAATTTTTCACAGTGATGGAAGTCAGAGGTGGATCCTCACTGACTATACTGTTATGAGGCAGATGGAGATGAGTAAGAAGCAACCATCAAACAAACCAAAAGGGGTCTTTGAACCTTTTTAAGACTGTAGACAATGCTCTATATAAAAGTTTTATTAGTATATAAGGGAAGGCCTAATAAACCTGCAATGAATCCAGTACATTTCAGTATAGAAGATAATATACTCGGTAACTTAAAAGTAGAAAAATAATTACATTACCACTGGTGCTGTAAAAGACAAGTTTAGGAGACAAGTCTAGAATAAAAAATTATCTTGACTAAGTGGAAAAGTGAGGTCAGCAGGACTACAGCTGAAAACCTGCAGTGTGCTGGGGTTTGGGGCTTTTTTCTGGTCTTCTGCTCCAGAGGTGTGCCACCAGCACAGAAGACCAATGTAGCTACACAGTGAGGTGTGTCCCTTCACAGGCCAGAACAGGAGTGTCTGAAAGGTTTATTTCTTCTCTGGAACTACAGTTTTAACTCAAGATCCACAGACCACAACCACACTTTGCTCTTTCCTAGGTAATACCATGCATTGCAGTTCAGACCTGCTGCACAGGCTTTGGCTAGACTCTCCTGGCATTATCATTCTCTTTTCTCCTTCCAGAGGAATCCTTTTGGGCCCAGCTGGGCTTTTGTGTGCTTCCTAAGAAGCGAATTCCTGGAGTTGGAGCCCTGAGAAAAAATCAGGTAATGGGATCTCTGTTGCTGTAAACATGTTCCTACAAAATCTCATGTTTATCCCTGAGAGATGGGCTTTCCTCACCCTCCCTGTGCCCCAGCAAAATCTGGGCATGGCTCCTTCTGTGTGCAGACAAACACCACTGCATGCTGGGTGCCAGGGGACTGGTCCAGCTCAGCTCCAGTCCAGGCTGGCAGACTGAGACAACTCAACAGCAACCAGTCAGGAAGTTTTGTGCTCAAAGCAGCAGGCAAAACTGCAGTTTAAGACTGCCGCAGACTCACTGTATGATTTCAGGTGACATCTCCAGGCCTTCAGCACCTGCAAAATTAGGGCAGGAATTCTCCTGCTTCCATCCTCTGTGGCTGTGGGATTTCTGTATCCCAGGAGTTTCACAGCAGGGTCCATCATCCAACACAGCAAGGACCTTGTTGCAGAGAATAAAAGCACATTAGGCATGTTATGTACACAGCAGTAACTGCTGCATGCTCCTCCAGGAAAAGAGTGACTTTCTCTGAGCAGGGTGGAGCTCAGCCTGCCACTCCTGGCTTGGGCTCCATGCAACAATGGTTTTGATGCTGCAGAAGGCCAGCAGGAAGCCCCTAGCATCCTTCACTGAGAGGAGGCACCTGCTCCCCCAGGCAGGGGCCAGCAATGGTGCCAGGCAGCTGTGAAGCAGAGTCCCATGCTAGAGTAGCAGATTAACCCTTGACAGATGTGCAGCCAGCACAAAGCAAAAGGAGCAAGAGAGGACAGGAAACAGCTGGAAACAGCAAGAGCTTGGAAGTGTTTATGATTTACTCACTAAATTAACAGCAACAAAAAGTTGTTATCCCTAGAAAGCTTTGCAAACCCCCCTGCTATAATTAGCTGCTGGCTCTGGAGGTGGTTTGCCAAATCAGTTTTTTAGCTGGGATGGTGCTGGGTTTTCCCCCCCTGCTGTGGTGTGCTGGACCATCAGCCAGTACCCAGCTCTGGCCAGGCTGACCATGGAATAAAACCCAAGGTCAGGGCTGGGGCACAGGCAATGCATTTGCTTCTCAGCACTGACCCTGAGGGTCTTCTTGTAGGAGGCTCCCTCCCCTGAAAGCAGAACTTCACATATCCCATGGGCTCCAGATAAGTCTTTCTTACCTGTGACTTTTGCAGCCAGACAAGTTCAAATGCAAACGTTAAGGGAAGGAAGCAAAGCCACCAGGGCCCCAGCTGGGGCTGGGAACCCAAGACAGACAGTGTTAACCATAGCATCATCATCCCTCTCAACCAAAACAAATAGCAACACATGCTTCAGTCACAACTGAATGACATCAGCATGACATATACATATATAAAGTGCTTTATTGCAGCATCAGATTAAAGAATTCTTCTCTGTGAAATTTTGTAGGAATAAAAGACATTTTATATATATATTATATATATAAAAACCCAATAAACTTAAGGAGTGAAAGCTTAGAGTTTCATCACTTAAATAGCAGTGGGCTGGACAGAATCTTTGATGGGATATAAAAATAAACACTTGCTTAACGTCTACTCTTCTCACGGTGTTCTGCAGAGCCTCATGGCGAGTAAGGTGCTTGTATGAGGAACAACAGTGCTTGTTTCTCATGCTCCAGTTCATGCCTGTATTGTCCAAAACACAGAGGCAGCAAAGCAGAACAGCTACTTGGCTCTCGACTAGCTTTTGTGGGGACGTCAGGGAAGGGGAGAGTATCAATGCAAGAAATTTTTTTACTTGCCCTTGGAGAGGAACTCCAGTTCTTACAGAAATTCCAAGTTTTTTTTCTGGGGGTTAGACTGGTTGACATAGCCAGAGTAAAGAGGAGGGTAAAGATCGTGGGTAACACTCTCACTGTAAGAGCACTTCCATAGAGAGCAGCTAGTCTAACAAACAAATTGGCTGAGCTTTTGCAAGCCTTCTTCAAGAAAGATTGATTGTAAAAGTCCTGCTTCCATGCTTGGGTCCAATACTGAACATGAGGCACGTTCAACAGGAGGTTCTTTAAAGAAGTCTGCACTGATGGTAAATAAACAAACTCCACTGGGAGTTTGGTGAAGTTAATGATGCCATATGGCATGCAAATAGAAATATGCTCTGCTGAATGACTGCAGCTCACAAGCTCATCCTTCCATGGCTTCAGACGCTCATGGCTTCCTTTGCTTCCATGTGTCTTGCTGAGGCTCCCTGGCTCCCAGAACCAAGCGACCAGATCACCGTCACCCCTTTTGACCACCTCTGCATGACCTACCTCTTTGCCAGAAACTAGTGAGTGAATGACTGTCTTGGCCAGGGAACATGCAGTGATCATGGAAATGTTCCAAGGTCTCCATCCATGCTTATCTGGTTCTCTTCCTTCTCACCATTCACAGAACACTGGGCATCTCAGACTGCATGTCTGTTGGGAAATGGATGATGTCTGCCTGTATTTTGATAGAACCCATATCCAGACTCTAGGGATACGAGGGTGTAATAACAGTTGAGTAAGAATAATTCAGCGATAACTTCATTAATACTTTTGTTTTACCAGCTATGAAGTCTTAGGTATGGATGACCAAGGATGCAATATTCTATCAGTGACCAAGGCAAATGGATCAACATACACACAACAGATACAAAGACACTCCCAGAAAGACTCCCCAAAGAGCTTTCAGACCAAGAATATTCACTGAGGCTGGAGAAAGCTCCTGTAAAAAGGACAGACAGTACAGGATGGTCAACTAAGGACCTCGGCAACCATTTTTTTCATTCAACAGTGCCCTGCAGAAGTACATGGAGTAGCTAGCAGCCTTGCATGAAACCTCTAGAGTAGAAATGACTCTATTCTTCTTTATGTGTGCTTGACTTTTATTTCCCCTGATGTATAAAATTTCTTAAATAAAAGCTATAAATTTTCTGCCAGTTCAGCAACTGAATGTCCAGGGACAAAGGTGCTCAGCCTAGTTTCTCTGCAGAAAAGCTTCCAAAATATGCTGGGAGACACTGCCATGGACCTGTGAAAAGCTGAATAAAACCCAGGCAAAATCAAAGTGTCAACAGAGAGCATCACGATCCCTGATCTGTGGACACCAGCTATTGACATTATTAGCACGTGTATCTTCCTCCTCTGGAGCCACATTTGTGAGCCTGGCCTGGAAGCGAGCCCGAGGGGTCCATGGCTCGGTTTGTCTGGGCTGCCTCCAGGTGGGAACTTGGGCAGACACAGACTGGAGCAGCTGGGGCCATGGGCAGACTCAGCATGGAGCAGGGCTAGCTTGGCTCAGTGCTTTTTGCTCCTCACCAGCAATGGCATGAGCAGTGGCTGTGAGTGGGAAACACAGGACTTTCTTTTGGGCTGTGTCACAGGTGCTCCTGAGACCCTCTGGGGACTGCCAAGGGGCCAAGGTCTGGGAGAGGGCTAGTGCTGTGACTTGCCCAGATGCTAACACCCTGTTCCTCCAAGAACCACAGCAGAGGGGCTGAAATGCACACAAGGTGGTGTCCCCATGCTCACCTCCTCTGAGGTTCACCTATGTGTAGCTTTGGCAGCCAAAACCCTGGTGCCTAGGCAATCTTGCCAAGCAAGCCCAGGCAGCCATTGCCCCTCCAGCCCACTCCCCCAGACCCATAGATCCATAATCCTTTCCCTGCTCCTTCCCAACCATGCATGCACATACCCAAGGATGGGGGGCCTGGCTCTGTATGCCTGGCTGGAACAGCCCTGCACTCTCTAGAAGACTTATCCCCAGTTTCAGACATAAACCAGGGCAGGTGTACAGACCAGAGCAGGCAGCCATGCCTGCAGCAGCTCCTCAGGTGTGGTCTGAAGCCAGCAGAAGCTGAGCCCTCTTCACCCTGTGCTCAGCTTTCAGGCTGCGTTGGAAGGTCATAGAGAACAAAAGCAGCCAGGAGCAGCCCCTTGCTCCCTTTATACCTCCCAGCCCCTGCTGCTTTCCACATGCCAGGCCAGGAGCCCTGGGATGCAGGACTGCCCTGGGTGGCACGGCAGGGCCCGCACCACAAGAACCTCCAGCACCTTCAGAAATCGGAGGAGACTCCTCTGAGGGGATGAGACAGGCGGCGCATCCTCCCCGTTTTGCCTGGCACCGCTGAGGAGCCCACCGGCAGGGCAGGGCTGGCCAGGCTGCGCAGGGACACAGCCAGTGGCGGTGGTGGCCCCTTTGAGAGTGGCTGTGCTAGTACTCCTTGGCCTCCTGCAGCTGGGACAGGTACTCCTCCTCGGCGGGGTTGTCAGCACAGCGCTGGCCATTGTTGGGGGGCCGGACGGCGTGATAGCGGCTCCAGTCCCCCTTGCAGAGGATCCAGGGCAGCATGTCCACCTTGTAGTGCAGCTCCGGAGAGAACTCGGTGCTGATGAGGTTGGGGACGCCGGCGCCCTTGCCGCGGGTGATGAGGCGGGTGTGCTCGTCGTAGCAGCAGTGCTGGGCAGCCAGCGTGGTGCTGTCCAGGGAGAGCATGGAGCGCAGGCAGAAGCGCGCCGTGGGCTTGTAGATGTCCAGGCGCTCCTTGGGCCCGCTGGCGTCCCGCCATCGGAAGCTCTTGCCCCGCTGCTCGTCGCGCAGGTTGACGGCGCTGTAGACGGCCTCCAGCGGGTAGGAGCAGGGGCAGCTGGGCAGGTCCGTCAGCACCTTGCTCAGGTACTTGGTGAGGAAGTCGCTCTTGCAGTTCAGCCACTTCTCGCAGCTGTCCACCTCTGGGGAGGGTACCAAAAGGGTGAGGGCACGCATGCTCTGCACCCCACTTTACCTGGCAGCCATTTGCCTGAAGCCATGCCAGCACCACCGGCAGAGCCTGCAGCCACCAGGCAGGAGCAGCCGGGCTCCTGGGACGAGCTGGAGCCAGCTCCACCCCCAAGGCAGTGACAGAGGGAAAGGGTTTTGTGCTGGCAACATTCCCCTGCGGGAGAGGGCACGTGGCAGGCTGGCTTCAGCCACTGAACCCTAAAGCTGTACTGTAGCAGGGCTGCGGGAGCAACTGGGTTTCCCAGCATGACCACTGAAGCCTCCACATGGCAGTGGTTTGGTGACTTAGGTCTGGACACCAGACACAGGACCCCTTGGCTGAACCCTGAACCCTCCCCACCAGCCAGCTACGACCCTCCCAAGGTCTGTCACTGAAGCCCCCAGAGCAAGGCAGAGGCAGAGGCTGACCTGAGTTGAACAGCTCTGTGGTGTTATCGCTTTTGAAAGGCGTCTCCTCTGTGGGGAAGACCATCTCTCCTTCTGCTCCTTGAGACAAAAAAAAAACAAAACAAAGAACCTGGATCAACACAGGAAGAAAGGTGGTTTTTCCCTCTGTATGTGCACCAGACACCTCCCATTTCCCAGCCCCTCTCCTGCCACTTCTTTGGTAACATGGCCCTGTGATTGGAAGGAAGGGCCAGCAGCAAGACTGGCCCAACAGAGGCTGTCATGTAAATCCCAGTGGATACAGCTGGCTCTCAACACGCCTCTCAGGAGAGGTTTTCAAGCTCCCAGTATGAGAGAGGTGCAAGAAGTCACACACCAAACTTAATGCCAGCCCACACAACTGCCCATGGAGCCATGAAACCCAATCATAGCTTCTTTGGGGAAACAAAGCCCCCTGGTCATTAGCCCTGACCACATTAAACATAACTAATTCTTGAAGCATGAGCAATGCCCAGCCTCCAGCAGTGGGCCAGCCCACATCAAAGTCAGACAGTAGCCAAGGACTGTTCTGGCAGGGGCTCACCAGGGCAGTGTGTCAGATCGCAGGTCCTCGACTCTGTCGCTGTGCAGGCATAGCCACAGGAGCGGGTCCTCTTCTGGTTGCCACTGCCACAGGTGATGCTGCAAGGGGACCATGGGCTCCACTCCTCCTCATCTTCATAGTCTGTGCACAGCAGGCAAGAGGCAGAGAGTGACAGATCTCAGCAAAGCTTTAGCAGCAGGGGAGACAGCAGCCACCTGGGACCTCCCTCAGCTCTGCCTCCATCCCTGAACAGGGACAGTGCTGCCTGGGGCACACAGAGGTGCCCAGCCATGCAGTGCCAAGGGCCAAACCCATCCTCACTGCCAACCCCAGGCAAGCAGTCCTGAGCAAAGGCTCTCATTCTCACAGCTTTGCTCCCAGACATACCAACACAAACAGGTATTGCTGCCCACCTCCACATGGCCTAGCACACTGGCCATGATGCTGAACACCAGTATTAGCAAAGGCTGGCTGGTTTTGGGGTCATGGCCAGCAAGCTGCAGGCAGGAGCTGCTGTGGTGTCCCAGCCCATCTGCCCACTCGAATCTGCCATCTCTGCAGCTCCTCTCCTGGGGGGAACCCAGGTGTGTGGGAAAGGCTGCTGGCACTGATGTCACTACAGGGACAATGAGTCAATGGCAGCAGCACTTGTCATTAAACATTTATATTGTATGTCTGATCTGAGCATGCCTTCGCTATAGCCCATGCTCCAGTGTGACTACATGCAAGGACAATTCCCGCTGGGACACTGGCACGTCTGACTGCTGGCAGCCCCGGCCGAGTGTGCTGGCCTTTATCCTTGGCATGCCTGCTTATTTTGTAAGTAGGAGCAGAGCACCAGTGATGCCTGGTGCAGGGGCAGGACAGTGCAGACCTGCATTGCTGGTCTGCAGGGCAGCTGCACGTGCCAAGAACTCACCGTAATTGTATTTTTCCTTAAAGATCCAGTTTTTCTGCCCGGGCCATGGCTGGTCCCAGTTACCACCTACTCCACTAAGCATGGACTCCTCCTCCTCATAATCTGTTGTGTAGTCTTCCTCTTCATCATCATCCTCTTCTTCTTCTTCCCTGTCCCCTACATCCAGGTTGTCATCCTCTTCCTCCTCTTCCTCCTCCTCTTCATCTTCCTCCTCCTCCTCCCCCTCAGCAGGGTCAGTGTATTCCCAGAAGAGGGGCCAGAATAGGTCCTTGTGAGACAGCCACTCAGAGGATGTCAGAGACCAGTCATTGCTTGTCTCCTTCAACAAGTCCATCTCCATCTCAGCCTGAGGATCATCCACCACTTCAATGGTCACCTGGAGGGCAGATATGAGGCGAGGCAGTGAGCTGGGGCAGATATGAGGGGAGGCAGTGAGCTGGGGCACAGCCCTTGGACAGACCCACCAGACCATGCCCAAGAGGCCACAGACACTCAGGGCTGCAGGACTGTATGAGGAGCACAAATGGTATCTCCTCATCCAAAGGACTGAGCAGGGACAGAGTGGGAAGCACAGGGTGGCTGCTGGTCACCCACAGGGGCCAACACCACCCTCAGAAATTGAGAGGTCCCCCATGTAAGGATGGTTTACTCCTGCTCTATGAAGAGGGGGTGGGGAGGCCAGGGGAAAGGCTCTGAGCAAATTCCTCAGTCGAGGAGTTTCTCCATGCCAGCTATCTGCAGCTGGTAGTCACCAAGAAAACAGATTACAGTGGCCACACAGATCCTGCTCATGAGATCTTTTCTCTTAAGGAATGAAATGAGGCTGGAGAGCACCACTTTCACCACAGCACTCACCCACATCCCCCCGTGGCCCTCCCAGACCCACTCCCACCTGGATGTTGGGGTTCTGGGCACTCAGGTCCACGTTGGCCAGCCCCGGCAAGTTCTGCAGGTCCAGCATGAAGGGCAGGCTCTCCTCCTGGCCAGCAGCACTGGGCTGGGGCAGCACAGGGCTCCTGGCAGCCTGCTGAGGCAGCCCTCGGCGCCTGTGCCGGCGCGGGCCGGCCTGCCCGCTGCGCCGCAGCCCCCGCGGCCTGCCCGGCGGGGACAGCTCCTCGTGCCCTGCGGAGCGCAGGCCGGATGACGCTGACACCTGCACGGGGAAGAGTCACAGGGAACAGCTCCTGACGGTGCTGGTGCAGGCAGGGAGCAAAGATGGGTCTGGTCTCCTGCCTCCATCCCATCTTACTGCAGCATCAGCAGAGCGATTAACATGTTAATCAATAAAGTTAACGCCAAGTGCCCTGTGCTGTGCCAGGGCTCAGTTCTGCTGCACCTGAACATAGGGGTCTATTCAGACTGGTACTTCCCAACCTCATGACCACCCTCCCTGCACCCCTCTGCTCTCCCATTGCCCATCTTGTCTGGCTTTCCACTTCTCACTCTCCCTTTTTAGCTATTTCTCAATCCCTGGAAATGGGTTAACAGCAAGGGCTGCTTCTGGTCACAGAGCTACCACAGATCATGTTTAATACTTTTATATATTTATATTAAAAGTTTACAACCAGGGCTTTATGACAAAGGGGAACACCTCACCCAAATACATTGTTCTGTGGTACTGGTATTAGGGCAGATGACTTCAAGCAGCACAGGTTTAATTGAAATTTCTGATGGTGCCCAAAGGCAACCACAAAGGTGGAAAGAAACTGCTGGCAGATATAACCCAGCTACCTTTAGCTCTTTGGGAAAGGGAAGATTGCCAGCCAAACAAGTCAACAAAACTCACTTGTGAGTGCTGCCAGTGGCTCTCAGCGCTGCTGCCACTCCAGGGGCACATGGCCCATGCATGGCAGGAGGAGCAGGGCTGGCAGACAGGGAGCCCTGGCAGAGGCAGCACCAGCCAAGCACTGCGCTTGCCCCAGTCCCGCGTTCCCGTCCCGCACTGGCACCACAGAGCAGCGGGACTCCAGGGGCCAGCAGGCTCCAGGGTGCCCACGAAACCCGAGACGGGAACAACTGGCAAAGCCCCCCCGAGGCACGGGCGTCCTCGGGAAGGTCTGCAGGGCCCCGCAGCTCAAGGCTGGGAGCAGAAGTGCCCGCACTCCCAGCGTCTCCGTCAGCGTCTGCCTTTTTCTGGCTGCCCAGCTGAAACCCCTCTTTGTTCCCAAGCTCTCACCCTTCGCACCAGCCCGGCCGAGAGCCGTGGGATTAACGAAGAGCACGGAGTGCCCCCTCCCCGCAGCCGGGCGGGGGGGACGCAGAGAGGCATTTCTACCTGCAATTAGAGCCAGATGGTTCGGGGAAGGACTCCCCTCCCTTTCATCCTGATCACTGGAGCACTTCAAAGGCAGCTGGAGCCTGGCCAGACTCTCATGAGCGCACACAGCCCGTCCCCAGCCCTGTCCCTGTACATCAAAGCCCACGATCCCTCCGTCCCCGGGGGAGGGAAAAGAGCAGCAGGGACGCTGCTGGTCCCTTGGCTGCTGCCCAGGGCAGGCTGAAGGCAGGGAAGGGCCGGTGACAGACTCCACCAGATGGGCCCTGAGCAGAGAGGGCTGCAGAGAGGACAGAACCTGGGCTGCCCAGAGAGAGTCCTCCCTAGCCTGGACAACTCCTGTGGCACTGCTGGTAGCAAACCTGAGCAGAAAGATCCCCCTGCACACACCTTCCCCTCCCAACTCCCCCTCTGTCCCCATCCAAACCACAGTGCTTTCGGGAAGAATGCATGGGGATGATGCCTGGCTCTGTCTCAGCCTAGTTCCCAGTGCCTTAGCCCCTTGCTAGGTCTCCTGTCATGTCCCAGGAGTCCTTGACAAGAAGCAAGGAGCTCAGGTGGAACAAAAACAGCAAAGGGGGCTGAGCAGGCAAACACAGCCATGTCCCAGTGCTGCACGACACTGCCTGCTGTGCTGGGTCTGCTGCCAGCTGCACAAGCCCAACACAACCCCTGCACAAGAGACTGGCAGCAGCCAGGAAAGGCTGGCGTTCCTACCCAATTTGCAAAGAGCTTATTGGGCTGGGTGAGCTCATGTCACACACAACCCAAATTTAATACACATGGAAAGTGAGGTCTCCTCAACAACAAGATCTGAGCTCACCCAAGGACACCAGAGAAAGCAAGCCAGGAACAGACTCAAAGTCTCCAAATTTACACTTAGTGCCTAATTCAGATTTTACGCCCAAACAAGCTCAAGAAATTCAGAGTACTGTTCCCACAGGGAAAATGTAAAACTGCTCCAGGAGAACTGGCTGCAAAAATGTTGCAGGGCAAACAGAACTCCCTCAGCTCCCAGATACTCTGGAGGCATAAGAATGACAGGGGTGGCCACCTGGAATGGCCAAGAGCCCTTCAGCAATGGTCACTACAATGTACCACCCAACACCTCCCTCCTCTTGGCATCTGCATCACTCTAAAGGCTTGCTGGGTTAAAATCTCTCCCTGCATCAGATGTCCCTCCTATCTAAGGTCAGTGCCCTGCCCCAGACAGTCAATCAACGGATTTAACAAGCTCTTAGAAGGCCCAGTGCTCCCTCCAGGTCAGAGCATCCATGGCATCAGATGTGTCTTCTCCAAGTCATCAAGGGTCCCCTGACAGCCACACGAGCACCACCTGAGGTTTGCACCCCTCTCCATGATGCCCATCCTCTCCTCTGCACTGTCCAAGCAGCAGCTGGATAAAGCCACCAAGGACGGAGCTCAGCCACTGCAGTGGGCTAAGGGAAGAGAAGACTTTGCCTGTCCAGAGGGAACACTCTATTCCCCTGCTTTCTGCAGAGCACAGGAGAAAGCCTGCAAACCGTTGGAGAGCTCGTCAGCAGCAGCAGCTCCCTTCTTCCATGGAAGCAGAGTGCAGCGCTGGGGAGCCATCAGGGTCTTCCAGCCGAGTTCCAGCCTTCTCCTGCAACCAGCCAGCACCAAGCAAAGGAAAAAGCCGGACAAGGAATTGCCACAGCTGTTCCTGTTTACACTTGGCATATCCTACCTGGCTGGGAATAAGGGCAGGAACCTGAGCGAAACTCTGGGGCAGCACTCAGGAAAGAGCATGGAATTTCCCTTTGTGAGGATCATGTTTTGACTGCAGGCTGTGAGCAGGATCATACCTGCCTACCTACCAGCCCAGGAGCCCTTCCCACATAGTCCAGGCTGTCCCACGTGTAGGATTGCCCACTGAAACACCTTGAGGCACAAGCTTAGAAGTTTGGAAGGGGAAATAACTCATTAGCAATTCACCCCAGTATCATGCCTACTTTGTACATAACATGGGCAACAAGGTGTGTGGAAAAGGTGTGGGAAAAGGCCACACATCACTGCTCTAGAGACCAAAAGCTGACATTTTTCCATTGCTAGACCATACACCTCTATAAGAATTGCTGAAAAATCTGGAGATGATGAAAAGAACAGCCACAAAAACATTTCAAGGGATGGAAAGTCTTGTACAAGTCTTGTACAAGTCTTTTCCAGTGAAAGACTTGTACAATTCAATTTGTTTCTCATGCTGAAAAAAGAAAGCAATGACTCAGTTTTCCAGTTCTTTAAGGCAGTAATCCATCAGGCACCAGAGACTATAATCCAGAACAGAAACACATAATAGGAAGCAATGTGCCCAAGTCAAAGCCAAAAAAATTTAACTGAGGAATAAGGATCATGCTTTTTATGCCATAGGTAATTAACCACAGGAACAATTAAAAAGAAAAGTGACAATTTTTCTTGTGGAGACTGCCAAACCCACATGACTGGGCTCAACACATGAGCACTGCAACTCCACCAGGGAAGAAATTCAAGGCTCTAGTAATTTCTTCTGCTCTTAAAATTTGTAATTTTGCTAGAAATGTCCGTAAGGCTTTGAACTAAATCTGGAATAAGGAAGCAAATGACCAATGTTCATGTGCTGCAGCTCTTACTATTAGAGACATGACATTTCCATTTAAAACCTGAAAACATCATCAGACTAGCTCCTGTGCTGTGCTGTACTTTGACAAGCAGTGACACCACCACCCTGCCACTTACACAGCCACAGGTACTTGTCCCTTCAGCACGTTCCTCAGCCTCCCTGCAGGAGCTGCAAGCTGCCAGAGCACCCAACAGCAGTGCTCTTTGTAACCTCACAGACTGCTGGGCAGAGTTGCCCCTCATCATGGGCTTACACCAATCCAAGCACATTTGAGAGAACTCCCTGGCAGTGAAGCACTGCGAGAGCATCAGCAGCCAGTGGAGCAGCAAGTCACCAGCACAGGACAAGCTCGGAGGATGCAGCTTCTACCCACACCTATCCCAAGCCAATTATCGAGCACATAAACTCATTCAACTTGAACCAAGGGAACCTGTGCCCACAGCAGCCAGATCAGAGGCAACATTCAGGCTATGCTTTGGGCTTGTTAACACTGCAGTGAAGAAAATGACGTATTTGCTAAAGGCCGGTATCACACTGAGCTATAATTATAAGGAATGGGGGCTTTTGTTGCTTAATCATTACTGCTTGTGTTAGGTTTCCTTTGAACAGTTTTACCATGCTGCATTGAAACAAGAAACCACCAGAAGAACTATTGATCTTTTCCTGAATAGACCTTCCTTCTCTTTCCCCAAAGCTTTCCAACATTATTTTAAAATCTGTCTGTTGCAAACTTGCTCGCTTATGAATTAGTCAACTACAATTTTTTTTAACCATAAAAATTTTCTTTTTATATTTACTTAAATGAGCTGCAAGGATCTGGAGAAAGTATTTAAAAAAATTATCTTTGGACTGAAACTGGGTAGGAACAACTCCAGCGTAGGATTTTACTATAAAGCCACACTATAAAGCTATGGAAGTAGAGAAGGCTGGTTGGTTGCATTAGAAGGAAGCCCAGCATGTCTGGGGTTAGCTCTGGGGCTGCAGTTTGCACAAAGGCCCATGACAGTTTTTGCTGGTGGGATGGGGAGAAAGGGAGGTTTTTCTAATGCTAACAGGTAACACTGCTGTCTCCTTAAAATAAAGCAAGGTTGAACAGCAGAGTGATCACCAGGAACAGAAGCAGTGTGCCACGATGCCTCCCTCCCACAGAACGTGCTTTCTCCTCTATGAGGCACTGCCCAAATAAAGGGCTTTTTTAGCCCAGCCAGCTGAAACCCCCATGGCCTCCTGAGGGCTGTAGTTTGATCCTCCTGGCTCATAA